CCTTTTTATTTCGAAATTAATTTCACATTTCGAAATTCTTTATTTCCTTTCGAAATTAATTTCCTATTTCGTAATCCACCTTTTTATTTCGAAATTAATTTCACATTTCTAAATTACTTTTTTTTTTCGAAATTAATATGGCTAGTTCGATTATTATCGAAAGTTTTTTTAGATTTCGAAAAAAAAGAAGTATTTCGATAACGTTTTAATCGAAAATTTTCGAAAATTGCAATTTCGATAATGAACCCTAGTGTAAATGGCAGTTTAGCTCATTCAAACTTTCCCCTTAAATGTCACACAGTTTGCTTATGGTAAGATGGTTAATTGCAACTTTGGCTGACATTGCGTTTGATATATTTGAGATGATTGATTGATCACTATCATTAAAAGATGCTAAATGAAAATCTAAATAAAAGTTAGATGATCAACTGCTTTACATATATGCAAGCAAATATTCGTAACTAGCTGTAAGCATTTTATTTGCCTTAATATTATGTACAACTTTAACTTATTTTAGCTTTTAAAGTTCTGAAATTTTCATTGCTTTTTTTTTAAGCTTTAAGATTGCATATTATCTTACTGTAATAATATGTCTGCAAATTTTGTTTAAGATCTCTAAGTTCAGCTCTTAAAACTTTAACAATTTGTTTCTTTTATGTAATTTTTGTCTCAGTACTTTCAACTTGTATGCCATGCTTTTTAATTTTGCCGTCACTATTACTAATTTATTTCAATACTTGCTGGATGTAACAGCAAGCTGAGAAGTTAAATAGGACAATCTGGTATTCAAACCTTTTTTTTCTAGGGCTTATTTCTCCTCTTGATTCATGCCTATTCATTGTTAACAGAATGTTTGGAAAATAAAGGCTTGTGATTTAGTGGTGATAAATTACTTATGTGCTCAAGTGGTAAAATTATCTAAACTACTTAAAACAGTAGTAAGAGAACTACTTGGAGGGACATGATGATAGAAAGATGGGCAAGATTTGTGCAATGCATATACAGGGTTCATTACAAAATTCCTTAAAACGACAACTATCCCTTGTAAAGTTGCAAAACCAACTTTTGCATCTTTTCAAAACCCTAAAGAAATGAGGTTTACAAATGTTTAAACTAAATAATAGTTATAACAAATGACTTGACACTGTTAATGAATAAAAAAGATACATATCTATTTTTACAACAACTGCAAGTTTTGGCAGATAAAAAGAAGTGTGTATTTAAATACTCTTTAACTGTACTAAGAACAAAAATTAAAGTTGCTTATTGTGCCTATTGCCGGGGCACAAAAAGCAACTTTATTTACAAAAAAAAATGTAAAGAAAGTCTTGAATAACTACCGAATAATGATATAACATTAAATTATAAACAATATTATACTTTTATTATTAAAAACATTTTTAATAATACTGTATTATTGCGTAATTAAAAAATACTTTTTATACACACAGACAAAAATGCCAATGTATACTGACATCATAAAACATGTGATAATATAAAGAGTTTTTAAAATACCATCATACCTATAGCTAGAATTATAGTAATCAACGCTTATGTTTTCAATTTCAATGAAACCAATAAAATCTTAGAAACTATAAACAAGTCACACTAAAATAAATAGTAATTTTCACTTTTAAATTAAAATAAACTAGTAAAAATATACAAACTAATATTAATTAATATAAAAAATCTAATAAACTACTGAAAAAATAAGAAAAAGAAAAAAACACCTTATTGGCAGTCTATATCTAATTGTATTAATATATATATATATATATATATATATATATATATATATATATATATATATATATATTATTATTATTATTATTATTATTATTATTATTATTATTATTATTATTATTATTATTATTATTATTATTATTATTATTATTATATATATATATATATATATATATATATATATATATATATATATATATAATTATATATATATATTATTATATTTGAAATATATATATATATATTTTTTTTGCAGTAATTTATTAGATTTTTTATATTAATTAATATTAGTTTGTATATTTTTACTAATTTATTTTATTTAAAAAAAAAAAACTTATATATATATATATATATATGTATATATATATATATATATATATATATATATATACATGCATATATATATATATATATATATATATATATATATATATATATATATATATATATATATATATATATATATATATATATATATATATACATCAGGGGCGGATCTAGGGTACGTCTAGTACGTCTTAAGATGTACCCAAAAAAAAATTAAATAAAAAAAAAAAAAATTAATTTACGTTTCAATTATAAAAATAACTTTTTTGGTTAAAATAAGATTTAATTTTATAGGCACTTGTGAAACAAGAAATACGAACGGTTCTTGTTTAAAGTTCTAGTTAAAAAGATATCTGTCTTTGCCGGAGGTTTAAGCAATTCTTGATAAATAATATTTAATTAAATAAACGAATGGACGTCCCCAATTTTATTTTATTATAAAATAAAAAATTATTTTAAATTTGTATTTAATTTGTTAAAACAATAAATAAATAATATCTTTACTGATAATTAATTTTGGACGTCCCTAAATTGGTACACCCTTATTAAAATATTGTCAAAATCTTTTGTTTTGTGACGATCAGGAGGTAAAACTAATGATAATATCCTATAAATAATAAGATACACCAATAGACGTCCCCAATATTATTTTATTTTATTATTTATCTTTATATTTAATTTAGTTTTCAATATTTAATTTCTAAATACTCGGTTTCTTTTATAAAAAAACACTGCCGGACGTCCCTTCGTTAATACACCCTGAAATACATGCCTTATTCCTAATATTTAAAATGTTGTTTAATGTTAAAAATTCAAGCATTTATTTGTGTGTTCGAGTATTAATTTAAAATGTCACTCAATCAAGAAGTTAAAAACATTATGCTACAAAATGATGAAACAAAATTGATCGCTTTGAAAGATATATTACAAAAAAATATTAGTTCTTGTAATAATACGATTCTTGTCGACTCTTACGAAGAAGAAAAAACTCTTAAAAATTTTGAAATCTATCTGCCAAAGAGTTTTAAAGAAAAACATAATGGCAGTTATGTTGTTTTAAGGTAAAGGTATTTGTTCAAATTCCATGATTTTTTTAATAACTTTTTGGTTAGTTGTAATGTTATATTGACTGTAAGCTAGTTGAAAATACTTATAAATTTTTTATATAAGTTCATTAATTATTATATTTTATGTATATCTCAGGTCTCAATCAACTGGAAACTGTCTGTACAGTTCTATCTCCTTACGTCTTACTGGAAATAACTGTATAGTTAACGATTTAAGATTACAGACCTCAATTGAGCTATTCTTAAATGCCGAGTTTTATTCTAACCATCCAACTTTTCATTATGCTTTTATTAACAATACTAGCTCTTTTCTTTGCTATGATAACATTCTTCCTTTATCAGTATCACTAAATTCTTTGGATTCTGGAAAAAAAAGTAAAGATTTAGTTCAAGAAGAAGCTATTAACAATTGTAACAATGAAAACTGGTCTTCTTTCCTTTGTATTCTTGCATTATCAAGTGTTTGCAACAAGAAAATAGAATGTTTGTATCCAGATTTTGGTCTACAGAAGTATAAAATTTTATTCAGCTCAACTATTTTACCTCGTATAACTTCCTTAAACACTATTGAGTCTTTACATCTCCTTTTTTGTTATGAAGGTGTATTAAATGATTTTTCCGCTCCTTTTCAACACAACCATTATACCCCTGTGATAATAAAAGAAAACTTAAAACGAAAAAATTTAAACAAAAGCTGCAAAATGTAGCAGACTAAAATAAAATTTTATTTCGAGACCAAACATCAAGATAATAACTATTCGTTGGACAATTTAAAAAGTAAACCAATGGAAGTCTCTAGTCAACCCCCATTATCATTATCAAATTTTAGTAAAATTACATGTTGCGAATCATTTTCTTTACCTTCCAATAATTATGATATTGGTTATTTGGTTTCTAACTATACTAGTTATTCAAGTATTGCAAAAACCTTGAGTAATTCTGAACTTCAACATTTAGTTAAAGATGTTTTTGTACCTTGTAAAACATTTTCTTTTCCTAAAAATCTTAATGGGCGAAGTTTTCAATTTATGTGGATAGAAAAATTTCCATGGCTCACATATTCGAAAATATTCGATGGAGCCTTTTGTTTGTCATGTGTACTTTTTGGGTGTAATTTTCCATCTGAATGTAGTTTAGTCGAAAGATTATTTCGTAAGCCTTTTGATCGCTGGAATGATGCTTCTCGTTACTTTCAGAAACATGCATTTGGCAAAAACAATAATAAGTCTGTCTGCAGAAATAAAGACTTACATGTAAAAACTGCTGAAGTTTTATTTTCATTGTCGTCGATTTGGTCTTCTAAAACAGAATCAATAGATATTACATCTCAAAAAATAGTTCAATCACAGGTTTCTAAAAACCGACAGTTATTACAACCAATTATTGAAACAATTATTCTCTGTGGACGTCTTGGTCTTTCTTTACGAGGCCATAGAGACGATTCAGAGTTTCATCCTGAAAATAGTGAGTCTTTTAATCATACTGTTGGAAATTTTATTGAATTATTACATTTTCGTGTTAAAGCTGGTGATAAAGTTCTTGAAGATCATCTTAAATATCATCAACAAAATGCTTCTTACATATCTAAGACATCACAAAATCAGTTAATAAGGTGTTGTGGAGAAGTTATTACTGACACAATAATAGGAGAAATTAAAAACTCTAAATATTTTTCTATTATTGCTGATGAAGCTTCTGACAGTTCAAACAAAGAACAGCTATCATTAGTTATACGGTTTGTTGATTCAAAGTTTAATATAAGAGAAGAATTTATCAGTTTTTTTACATTGCACAAATGGTGTTACTGGTCAAGGATTATTTGATATTTTGTTAAAAAGTATTTCAGATTTTTCTTTAGATATCATGAATTGCAGAGGACAGTCATATGATGGTGCTGGAGCAATGGTTGGTCACACCAAAGGATTGTCCTCTCGTATTTTAATTCTAATTGAAAAAGCTACATTTGTTCATTGCTATAGCCATAGGCTTAATTTAGTTATTTGTGGCTCGTGCAATGTGCAATATGTCAAGAATCTTCTAGCATATGTTAAAGAGGTATCATATTTTTTCAATCTTTCACCTACCAGACAACAAAAGTTAGAGGAACACATTGAATGTACTGTTCCAATAGCTGTTAAAAAAAAATTAAAAGATGTTTGCAGAACACGTTGGGTGGAAAAAGTAAATGGTTTAGATACTTTTCAAGAACTTTTTGTTCCTTTGGTCTCTTGTCTTGAAGAAATGTCTTTAAATGCCAATAAGAGTTTTAATCATTCAACAGCTTCTAGTGCATCATCCCTTCTGAAACTAATTACAGGTTTTGATTTTATTGTTGCTATGTGCATAACAAGAAATGTGTTTGACTTAACTCTTCCCATAACGCGAATGTTGCAGTCAAAGAGTAATGATATTTATGATGGTTTGAATCTTATTCAGGCGTTAAAAGATGTTGTGATTTCACTTAGAAATATCGTTGATCAACACCATAAAATGTGCTATGAACAGGCTTTAAAAATTGCACAAAGTATTAATGTAGCTGAAGCAAAGCCAAGAACTTCATTTATTTCCAAAAACAGAGATAATACTCCTTCTGAATCTATTTCTGATTATTTTAAGTTAGTTATCACGATTCCTTTATTAGACCATCTAAGTGTTGAACTAGACACAAGGTTTGATGATACTACCTTAAAATGTTATAAAGCACTTGTGCTAGTTCCTACAAAAATGATTTCAGTAGTGCAATGTTCTCATGACACCAGTTGGAAAGACTCCATCATATCTTTCAGTGACTTTTACACAACAGACTTACCGAATCCGCTTGCTTTGTCTGGTGAGCTTGATTTATGGGAAGCCTTCTGGTTAAATTTTGAAGGAGATGTCCCTTCTAATATTTCCGAGACGTTAAAAGCGATAAATTTTCCTGGTTTTGAAAACATAAAAGTTTGTCTTAAGTTACTTGCTACCTTTCCATTAACTTCATGTGAGTGTGAGCGGACATTTTCTTCACTTCGGCGCCTAAAAAATTATATGCGAAGCACCATGGTTCAGGACCGTCTAAATGGTTTAGCATTAATGAGTATTCATTCAGAAATAGTTATAGATATCAATAAAGTCATTGATAAGTTTGCCACTAATAATCGTAGATTAACTTTTAAATAAATATAAAATATATTTAAAAAAAATTTTTTTTTAATAAAAAAATGCAAAATACTAAAAAAAAAACAGTGCAAAAAAAGTCAGCTTCTTTTGCCAATGGTAAAAAAAACGGCTATTTTCATAGCCACACACTTTTATAAAACATTATTTGGCATAAAGGAATTATTAACATACAATGAAATGTGTAAATATAAATCTAGTTTGTCATAATAAGTTTGTAAATATTATGTAAACATAATTTTACTATGGTAAAGTGCCCAAGCGATATCCTTGCGTATTTTTAGGCCTATATATATATATATATATATATATATATATATATATATATATATATATATATATATATATATATATATATATATATATATATATATATATATATATATATATATATATATATATATATATTAACAGGGCCGTCACTAGGAGAGGGGGGTGTCTAACTCCTTACCAAAACTTTGTTGAAAATTTAGTCGGCAAATTTGGACTTGTAGTCTGCAAGTTTGGAACTATAGTCGGCATATGTCAGTAAACGAGAATCATACGTCACCTTCCCCCCCCCATCCTCCTCCTTTTTTTTCTTCGGGACGGCCCTGTAATATATCCCCTCCAACTCCAGAATAGTTGAGTGGGGGAGGGGGGAGAACGAAATGTTGCTCGTAAAAAAATCAGATGTACCCAAATAATTTCCTGGATCCGCCCCTGTACATGTATATATATATATATATATATATATATACATATATACATATATATATATATATATATATATATATATATATATATATATATATATTATATATATATATATATATATATAATATATATATATATATATATATATATATATATATATAACATATATATATTATATATATATGTATATATATGTATATATGTATATATATATGTATATATATATATGTATATATATATATATATATATATATATATATATATATATATATATATATATATATATATATATATATATATATATATATATATATTATACATATAACATAAATAATTATAAACTAACCAAATAAAATTCAACTTGTTTGTACCCCTCTTACCACCCACTTACGGAAATCAGAAAAACAGAAATGAGGTACCAAAACTGCTCACTTTTATAGACTCAATAATATTTTTTAATGAAATTTGGTAGGTAGATAAAAAATATATGTAAAAAACTATCTGGGTAGGTTTGCAAACTATCTCAGCATTTCTTTGAAAATAATTTAATGTGAGAACAACAACCAAGTTTTTAATACAAATAAAAGCAATACAAAAATTACCAACCACACATAAATGTTATATATTAATCAAGTTTAACTATTCTTTTTTTCAAAAATAATCTAAGTTTAGTAATGTTTCTAAACAGAAACGCCACAAAAAAACGTTCGCCTGACGTTACCTAAAAAAAAGGGGTAGGTACAATCGGCAGAGCAGAGCAGATTGGCAGAGCAGATTATTGTAATGTTGATAGCGGCAGAGCAGATTATCCAATCAGCCGTTTTCTAATGTGTGATCAAATATTATTTGGCAGATCACACATTATTTAAATATTATTTGGCAGATCACGCATTATTAAAGTATAATTTTGCAGATCACAAAATAGAAAACGGCTGATTGCCTGTCTGTGATAATCTGCTCTGCCGTTATTATTATTACAATGATCTGCTCTGCCAATCTGCTCTGCCGGTTGCATTATGATCTGCCGAAATATTTGGAAGATCACACATTAGAATACGGCAGATCACTTTTTTTGTGGAAAAGTATTGCGACAACAAAATACGTTTATGTTTAAAAAGTCAACTCATAGTTCTTTCTATTCGAAGTGCATCGCTTTTCATAAAAATTTTTGGCAATCACATTATAAAAATTCTATTAAATGATCTGGCGAATTATTTGGCAGATCACACATTAGGAAACGACTGATTGAATAATCTGCGGGTAGGTACAATCGGCAGAGCAGAGCAGATTGGCAGAGCAGATCATTGAAATGTTAATAACGGCAGAGCAGATTATTCAATCAGCCGTTTCCTAATGTGTGATCTGCCAAATAATTCGGCAGATCATTTAATAGAATTTTTATAATGTGATTGCCAAAAATTTTTATGAAAAGCGATGCACTTCGAATAGAAAGAACTATGAGTTGACTTTTTAAACATAAACGTATTTTGTTGTCGCAATACTTTTCCACAAAAAAAGTGATCTGCCGTATTCTAATGTGTGATCTGCCAAATATTTCGGCAGATCATAATGCAACCGGCAGAGCAGATTGGCAGAGCAGATCATTGTAATAATAATAACGGCAGAGCAGATTATCACAGACAGGCAATTAGCCGTTTTCTATTTTGTGATCTGCAAAATTATACTTTAATAATGCGTGATCTGTCAAATAATATTTAAATAATGTGTGATCTGCCAAATAATATTTGGCAGATCACACATTAGAAAACGGCTGATTGGATAATCTGCTCTGCCGCTATCAACATTACAATAATCTGCTCTGCCAATCTGCTCTGCTCTGCCGATTGTACCTACCCCAAAAATAGATGATTGCGTGATTCAACTAAATTAATTTTGGTTTAATAAAGCATTGTGGATCTTTTTTGGACGAAAAATTTATTGGACGCGAAAAAGACGTTCAAAAGACGTTTAGAATTAAAATGGGACGGACGGACGCTAATTGAACGTCCAAAGGACGTCTTTTTTACGTCCCGTGCCCACTGGGTAGTTTAATTAAAATATGTTTATGACAAGCTTCCCTGTCATATACTTGTTGACTAGCCTCTTTAACTGATTTGACAGCGCGTTTTACGCTCTGCGCGTGAAAAGGAAATTCAGGTAAGTTCGGAACTTCTTTAGTTGTAATTAGTGCATCGATTTCGTCAACCTTAAACCATATTGTTGATGCCGGTTCACTACTTTTCCTAAAGTTGATTAATTCTATCCAAGAAGTTGCTTGAAAGTTTATCTAAACATTAGTAATATTTGTAGTATGGCAATCTTTATTTTTACTTGTCCTGAGTTTTTTAATGACTAGTAACGCCTGTTACCTTATGTTAGATTCTTCATATCTAAGCATACAATATAAAAAATTCTCAGACAATAGACAATATGAATTTTTTTTTAGATTTTTAAAACAATTGTTTTGTATTTCTTCTTGCTTCTTTATCTGTTCTGTCTTTTTAAAGAATATACTTAGAGAATTTATAAATTTAGAAGACCTTTTAATAAGATACCAAGTTTATGCATACACTTGTACAATAAAATTTACAAGCCTTACATGATCAAGACTTAGTGCTTCAGTACGAATATACAAAGTCATGATTCGAATTGCTAAAGTCAACCATCTTGCGTTGTTTAGTGGACCAATTTTTCTTCTAAAAAAATATGTTATTGACAAACCCTTTAGAAATTCCAAGACAATATTCAAACAACAGTCTTTGATCGTGGCTTAAATCATTTATCACTTCAATGGGAATATTTAGTATCTCTACTGGAGTATTAATTTTGGTAAACTTTACTTGTGCTTTAAGATGGAAATCTATAGAAACTTGCTTTCCAATAGGTCCTAAAAATTTATTTGGACACTTTGAACTCCCATCAACTATTTTGAATATTTTTCGAAATGGAAGTTCATTGTGATGCAAAGTACACCCGATAAGGTGTATTTTTCTTTCTAATTTCTTTTCTAAACATGCAACAATTCCAGTTTTGAAACCTGTATTGACAATTGTATTATCAAGAAGAAGAGCTTGTACTGAATTTAACTATCATTCTCTTTCAGAACATTTTATACAATTTCACTTTGAAGCAAACCAGTTGCACCATTTGGAGGGAGATTTTTATGAGAGAGATATGAACCATTTTTAATACAATTTTCATTAGTATAAGTTAAATGATGTTCTTTTTCAGTAACTCTCGACAAGCGAGTTTCTCCATTTTCAACGACATCCTTTAACTAAAGAACATTTTTATCATCTTTACCATCAACACCCAAATACACCAAGTTACCTAAATTATTATCATGTTGATTACCATATCTTGACATTACTTTCTTCTTCTCTCTATAAAACAACTCAAAGAATTATATTTAGCTAAATATAGTTCTTTAATATAAATAAAATATTTGTCTAAATATAAATAAAATTTTTGTCTAACTTATATAATGAAATAGTGTTTACCTATCAATTTTGTTTCGATCTATAACTTGATTCAAATCTCCATATTTAATGATTCCATAACCTAGAAGTAGAGCATTTGCAAGTGCAGCTGCAGCACGAGATGAGACATCATACCTACAAATAAGAAATGAGTTATGGGCGTATAGCATTTCAACATGATCTATAAGCTCTACTTGAACTAACCTTTCTAGAATAGATGTACCAAATTTTAAATCAGCCTATCCTAGCTGATAAATATTTTTAGGACCAATCTTGTTTCTCTGGTCACAAATATATGCCCTGTCTTCAAAAGGGACCTTAAATACAATTATTGAAAATAATCAACTACTTCAGTTTAATTGAAGTGAAACAATTATATATAATTAATAAATAATTGCAGATTAAAACAGCAAAAATTTTAGTATATACAATAATATATAAAAAATGTAATCAAATACCTTTCTAGTTTTACAAAGACACAAAATTAATAAACATCCCCGCTCTTCTCCCTTGTTATAAATTGATCCCCGCTCCTCTCCCTTGTTATAAATATAAATTGATCAATCAAGTATTAAGAATATTACTTGTGAGAACGATTCTGACTATAACGTACTCAATCTTTGAAAACAATTTTCATATCAGTCGCTATTTATTTCTATCGTTGATGTATGTATTACCTTAATATAATATATCTTTAAACATATTACTTAATATTGCTTTTTATATAAAATTTTTATAGATTATGATTTATTAGATACTAAAGAGTAACCGTCGATAAATACTGCATTGTATTTTTTGTTTAAAATTCTATTTTGCTACCTCGTAATATGTAAAACTTTGATGTTCTCGAATAAGGAAGCCATTACGAATAAAGAATCACAACCAGCTGACTGTGGCATCATTGCTCATGAATTTGCTTGCCATTTTAAAAATTTAGTTATTTAGGTTATTTATTTTTATCAAAAACTATCATTTTCCTGATTTCCAGAAACTTAAATATTTCGTTAAAATTTTATTTTTTCCGAATATCCAAATAGTTTAGAAATACAAAAAAATGTATCTTTGTCATCAAATAATTAAAACAGTATAGGTATTATTTATCAATTACTCTTCGCTATATTTTGTTAGGTTAGACATTAGGTTTGATCTTAGCACTGGGCAAGAGAGGATCTATGGTGTTTAGCATTTGTATGCTCCAAGAGCACAAATTGGAACTTTCGGAGCCCTATAAATTAACTAACGAGGTATATTCTCGCACATCTGTATATAATGTAACTCAGTGGGCGACATTAAGTTAAAGTGGGTGACTTTTAGTACTTTTGACTCCCTGTACAGTTTGTAATGATAATGTCACACACAATTATAAAAGTTAGTTTGTTTAGTTACTGAAAGACTGAGAAATCTAATGATGAAAAATGCATCAGTAATGATGAATAATGCATCAGTAATGATGAATAATGAATCGGTTACGAAAATATTGCATCGGTAATGATGAATAATGCAGCAGTAATGATGAATAATGCATCGGTAGTGATGAATAATGCAGCGGCAATAATGAATAATGCAGCAGTGTATGTCTATAAGCAGTCTGTCAGCAGCAATTTTAGTGCATGTTTGATTAAATTGCCCTACTTTAAATGTATGTCTATATTAAAATAACCAATTTAAAGTGGTTATTTTTCTCTTCTTGTAGACTCAGGGTTTTTTTTTTAAATATTTAGTTAAGCTATTTTATTTTATAGACCCTTAAAAGAATCAATGTCTATTTTATGGTGAAGCCAAATATTATTTAGCTTGTAACTTTGCATTGCCTACTTAATTAAACATTGAATGTAGAAATGGAAATACACTGTATTTATTTACAGCAAACAGCGAATCATTTAAAAAACTGCTGAACTAGTCAATAAGCTTTTTAACTGTAAAATTTGTCAAAATCATATTGTGCATATAGTAAATACATCCAAGTTATATGTTATAAGCACGCAATTTTTTGAAGAGTTCTAACATTGTTATTGACATTTGTAAAAAGGTT